TGTGCTCGTTTGGACCGGTGAGCCGGTTCACTTTCAGGGTTGTGATCAAAGCACGCTCGAGTCCCGCATCCAATCAATGGCTCCGAGACCCACGTTTCTGACATGTTCTTTCAGTAACGTGAAATATTGTAAATTAATGACGTAACAAACCGTGAGGTATTCTTAAAATCAATTATGTTCGTTCAGAGTTTTTAAAAAGCCCGACTTTGGTTTAAAAATGAACGAACTGTGCAGATTTGTCAACGGGAGCCTGCAGCCGAGGCCGGCCCAGGTGGGGCAGAGATCTGGACCGATCCGTCATTAATAAGTCAAGCGGCGTGGTCTCGGCCCAGGTAGCGCCCTGGGACCGGACCGGCAGCTCCTCGTTTATTCAGGCTCCACTCAAGGACAAGCTTGTCCCCGTCTCTTCACCTCCATCGCCTCCCTCCATTCCATGCTGCTTTCCCCCACAGATTCTTTGTAAAGTGTGCTTGGCGCCACTTCGGCTCTGACAGCAGATTTTTATTTGATGTTTTTCAAAACAGCCGAGGTCAAGAAGTTTTTTATTTCCATGGAAATCTGTTTTTTCTTTCATTTTAACTTTAATCTGAGCCTCAGTCTCAGTTTCCTGTAAGATTCTCCATTTATTAATTTGCTAATTCAGGATAATTTTAGATGCTGTACAATCTGTATAATCTGTATATAATCTGTACATAATCTGCATATAATATGCTTATAATCTGTATGCTGATTGTTCACAAGGTATTTCGGAGATGCAACGCTTGCTCTGAGAAATATTTAAAACCAAATTAACTTTTTAGTGGCTGCAGTGGCGTTAAACTGATTTTTTAAACAGTCTTTTTCTAATCTGAAAATATTCTGTTGTCAATCAGATGTTTGTGTTTTAAAATATTCAAGTGAATAAATTACAGTTTTCAGCAAAACTCCAATAAGCTGAAAAACTTTGCTCACATTTGCTGAAGAAGCCAAAAGTCGGATGGATGGATGGATGGAATTTCTCTCTTGGGATTAATAAAGTTAAAGCTGAAAGAAATAGAGCACTAGCTAAAAGGAGCAAAACACTAACTAAAAGCTAAAGGGAACAAAATGGTAGATTAAAAACTAAAAGAAGCAAAAGACTGGCTAAAAGCTAAAGGGAGCAAAACACTAGCTAAAAGCTAAAGGGAACAAAAGACTAGCTAAAAGCTAAAGGGAACAAAAGACTAGCTAAGAGCTAAAGGGAACAAAAGACTAGCTAAAAGCTAAAGGGAGCAAAACACTAGCTAAAAGCTAAAGGGAGCAAAACACTAGCTAAAAGCTAAAGGGAGCAAAACACTAGCTAAAAGCCAAAGGGAACAAACACTAACTAAAAGCTAAAGGGAGCAAAATGGTAGTTTAAAAAGTTAAAGTTGCAAAACACTAACTAAAAGCTAAAGGGAGCAAAATGGTAGCTTGAAAACTAAAAATAGCAAAAAAATAGCTAAAAGCTAAAGGGAGCACAATGGTAGCTTGAAAACTACAAACAGCAAAAGGCTATAGCTAAAAGTACTAACACATTAGCCAAAAATAGCCTAAAAAGATAAAAGTGGAGGAAGTAGCTGAAACAGATATCAGAGAGAACAATGTTTTTAAAGGAATTATAGGAAAAATAAGTAAAAAGTATGTAAGTCGCAGCACCTATTTCCTGAAAGAGCCGACGTTTTGATACCGAGTGCAACAAAACGCCCGTCTAAACGCTGACTCAGCGTTCACACAGTGTGTGAGTGTGATCACATGCGTACTTTGAGTTAATATAAATACAAATAAAAACATTTCAGTTTTCTTGTTCTCACCTTTAGATACAGATTTAATCAGTAAATATTCATGCCACAGCAGCTACGGTGCATTCGTCCAATCCACCGACAACAAATGAATGTTGCTTACACTAATGGAGGAAAGGCACAGACTAATTGCTGAAAATGTTCCTTTTTTCTCTTGAGTATTCTTTGTACCCTGAGGGTCGCCGGACTGCTGCGAAAAACGCTGTTGCAGAAACACTGGAGCCAGTTTCAGCTTTGTTTCTGCTTTATTTCATCAAATACTTGTTTCTTGTCTGGGTTCTCTTTGTTTCCTCCACCTGTGGGAGAACTGAGCTCATATGTCATTACAGTCAAGTTCTCCCCAACAAGTTTCACACTATGACAGCAGCTCGGAGCAAATGACCTGTTTTTATTAAAACTGAAATCTGACCTGAACCGGTGTTTGTATTATTTACATGAAAACATTCAACAATGCTTTACATACAGAGCGCTGTACGTAAAATAAACAATAAAAGCTTTAATTTGTCTCCCAAAATTTAGTCCACAAACTAAGATTAAAAATCAGAAGAAAACAAGAAGCTCTGATGTGGCCTGAAAATTACCCAGAGTCCTCAGAGCCAAGCTCGTCTCCCCTCCCTCCCCTCCTGTTTACTGCAGCCTCATCAGGACAGCAGTGTGTCACTGTGGATCAAAGTCAGTGGAATCAGCCGGCACACAGAAACACCGAGCTGTTCCCAAATCCACCGCTGACGAGGGAGGGAGACGATCAGAGCCTGGTTTCCAGGACAAGAAGGAAAAGATGAGAAAAGAGGCAAAAGAAGAGAGAGAACACAAAGTTACCCCCTGAAAGGACAAAAGAAATTACTTCTTTTGGCTTTTCCCTCTTCAGGGCTCTCCACAGCGAGTCATTCTCCATCTCAAACTGTCCTCACTCCAACTACCTCCATGTCCTCTCCAGCTGCATCCATAGATCTCCTCTTTTTCCTGGCAGCTGCAATTCTAACATCCTTCTACCAATATACCCACTGTCCCTCCTCTGGACATGTCCAAACCATCTCAGTCTGGTCTCTCTAACTTTATTTCCCAGTTGTTCAACCTGTGCTGTACCTCTGATTATCTCTGTCCTAATCTTCTCCATCCTTGTCACTCCTAAGAAGAACCTCACCATCTTAATTTCTGCCACTTCCAGTTCTTTCTCCTGTCTTTTTGTCCATGTCTCTGTCTCCAGTCCATACAATATAGCTGGTCTCACCACTGTCTTGTAAACTTTTCCTTTTCCTGACACCCTTTTGTCACAAATCACTCCTGAAACTTCTCCATCCTGCCTGGACTCTCTTTTTCACCTCTTTACCACACTCCCCATATTCCTGGACAGTGGACCCCAAGTACTTGAAGTCCTGCACGTTGTAGCCTCACTGTTCCACCGGCCTCCCTCTCATTCACGCACATGTACTCTGTCTTACTACGGCTGACTTTCATTCCTCTTCTATTAAGTGCATACCTCCGTCTCTCCAAGTTCTCTTCCACCCGTTTCCTGTTCTCACCACACATCACAATGTCATCTGCAAACATCATAGTCCACGGGGATTCCTGCCTGACCTCATCTGTTAGTCGGTCCATCACCAGAGAAAACAAAAAGGGGCTCAGAGCGGGTCCTTGATGCACTCCCACCTACATCACATCTCACCACTGTCCTGCTGTCCTCATGCATGTCCTGTACCAGTCTAACATACTTCCCCGCCACTCTAAATGTCCTCTTACAACATTGTATTTTTACCATTATCTCAGTTTATAAACTGATATTTTACTTACAAACACAGGACTAGTGTCTCAGACATCAGGATGTTACAAGTTGAATCAAAATAAAATGAACTCCTGTTGCTTTTGACTCAGCCTGCAACGATTATCTTAGATAAATAGAAAAGGGTTAGAAATGTTCTCAGGTTCCTTTTTTATCTTGAGAATTTATTATTATAAATCAGGTGTCACACCTGATTTACCCAAATCTATTTCCAAGTATTATATAAGGTTTCATGTAAATATTAGTTGTCTTTCCTGTGTTTATTTTGACGGTGTAAACACTTGTTTACTGTCTCACTACAGCTCTCCTGAATTTGATTTAGGATCCTGCGTCGTATGAGACAGACCCCTCAGCTCCTTTGTTGATCTTCCACAGTTAAATCCTCTGCGCTCACTCTGAGGTGGAGGAGGAGGAGGAGGGAACGGTGCAGAGTCATTTGTATTCAAATCCAGAGCCGATACGTCAATAAGTCTATTTCATGGGCAGCGCGTGCAGGAGACGGGCTCCACTGCAGGGCTGCAAAACCCAAAGTTTCCTCTCTGGTTGTTGGAGAGATTTGTTCAGACTGAAAGGTCCTTTAGGTCGCTGATAATCAAAGCTGTTAAACGGGTTCGAGCGCTGAGCTCTGCGGAGGATTATCACAGGAGGTTTTCAGAGACGGTACGTGGGTTCGGCTGAACGAGGGGGCGTTTGAGTCCTGTGTGCTTTGAGAACAACAGAATTTGACAGAGCTGCAGTGAGACGGTGAACCAGCAGCCAAGAAGGCTGCAGATGCTCGTCTCCCTCCGTCTGACACGGAGGCCTGGGGGGTGGGGGTGGGGGGGGGGGGGGGTTGCATCCTCCACTGTTTGATTTGCACCGAGGGGAGATCTTGTTTGTTCTCCTCAATGCAGCATTTACAGTTTAAGATTCTCCTCACGACCTTCCGCTGCTCCTGAGCAGCGAGCTATCCGTCTCCCCCGAGCGAGGGGAGGGAATATATATATATATTTAAAAGGAGAAAAAGAAACGGTGCCTCTGATCGGCCGGCCACAGGGACCTGCGGCTGCTTTTATCCGATCAGTTAGGAAGCAGGTTGCACCTTTTCTTCACCAGACCTGGTCGATAGCAGCAGTTAGGGCCTTTTCTGGGACAGTTTGCTCTAATGAGGGTGAATACAGCTGTGGCAGCCATAAGTTTTGTCAGAGCTCCACCTGGTGGTATCACTGAAGCATATTGGAAGCTCTGCAGCCCTCCATGCTAATAACCGACTCTTTCCTGTCCTTTTTATCCCTCCCTCCTCTCTTAACCCTAATTTTACCTTCTAAAACCTTCCTACTTTCATTTTTCTTCTTGACTATCTTGCATCTCTCTTTGTTTTTTTTTTGTTTGTTTGTTTTTTCCGCCCCCTGCACTTTTCGTCCTTCCTTTCTCCACCGTAGATCGTTATCTGGTCGAATCGTGGGGGGAGTGTGGTGGTTCTTCACCCTCATCATCATCTCATCCTACACGGCCAACCTGGCTGCTTTCCTCACCGTGGAGAGGATGGTTTCCCCCATCGAGAGCGCCGAGGATCTGGCCAAGCAGACCGACATTGCCTACGGCACTTTGGACTCTGGTTCGACCAAAGAGTTCTTCAGGGTGAGTCTGGTGTCACTGGGGGGTTAAAGGTCCACTCCAAGACAGGTAGGGAACTCGTTCAGTCTTTACAAATTTAACACAATCAGGAAAATAAACCTTTAGGGCAGCGGTCAGGGGTGTTGAAAGGGGGCCACAATAAAAATTTATTTCAGACCAAAAGTCTGTTTCAGTCAATACTTTACCTCCAGGCAGATACCTGGCATCTTCTCTTAGATGCTGGTTCCTCAACAAGAGTTTCTTCGGTCTATTTTGACGTTTTTCCTACGCGTTTTCTGCATCAGAATCAAAGATTGAGGAAAAACTCAAACCAGTTTTTCTTGGCTTCAACGTTAGACAACTGTCACGAGAAGTCCGCACAAAATAAAGCATGCTCAGTTTTCTAGGTAAAATGAGAAGCAATAAACAAAATCTTTTAAAATATCGTCTTGGGGGCCAGATGTTAACAGAGGGTCGTGTTTGGCCCTCGGGCCTCGAGTTTGACACGTGTCCTAAATGACCTCCAGAAATCAAATCGAATTTAAAAAGCAACGTTTGCGTTGTTCACTGATATTTAGGGTCGAAGGTCTTTGACGGTGTTACTTTAGGGGGCAGAAGAAGCTTTGGGAACCCCTGATTTGGAGAAGCATAAGACCGTTTCAGCAGGACTACGAGGTTAGCCTTGACCGAACAGCTCCCAAGATGCACATCCAGATTTTTTAGAGCTCCTGCCACATTCAAATCCTGACGTTAGGCCAGAGAATCTGAGTTTCATCCGAGGTTAGAGGCTAAAGTTCATTTGGAGCAGCGGTTCCCAAAGCTAGTGTCAGGAAACAGGAAATAACGCCAGTGATCTGTTCAGCGTCAACAGTTTTAAAGACAGACATAAAAAGAGAAACTAATATGATGGACGACGACGAGGCTGTTTGTCGAACAGCTTGAGGGACGTTTGTTTATTTCAACCAGCTGGAGTTGGCTTGATGTCGATTCTGTGGATTGAAATAATAATAATAATAATAATAATAATGTCATCACAATGTCAGCACTGTATGTTTCCATACAATGGCGAAATTAGTCTCTGCATTTAACCCATCCACCACCAGGTGGTGCAGTGGGCAGCTATTGAAAGCGCCTGGGGGGCATTTTGGGGATGAGGCGTGCTGCCCAGAGACGCCACGTGATGTGCAGTGACTGGGGATCGAACCTGGAACTTTCAGGTCCCAAGCCGGCTGCCCTGCCTCTACACCATCGCTGCCCTGCTTCTACACCATCTCGGCCCCCATCAAAACTGTTTTACCGTACTAGCCGCCGTACACGTCGCATCTATTACGCGTCACCACTGACCACCTGGAAACGTGGACCGGTGTTGTGCCAAAAATCGATTGGCTGCCAAATGGCAGCCACGGGAAAGTGCACAGGAGGACTTTAACAAGAATTTAACAAGATTAATGTTAAACGGCTGATTTGACGTTTGCTCCAGGAGTTTCGGAGCGAGACGAAGGTGGCTTGATATGTTAATCCAACTGTCTCATTAATAACCACTTTTAACATTAATACGACACATGGCTTGCCATATTAGTCGAGCGCCCTCTAGTGGCTGAAAATGGTAGTGTTCAGTATTTTCCATGTCAGAATGAATGAAATCGTCAGATCTCAGCCAAAAGTTGGGTCATAAATATGGAGGAAAAAATCTATATTAGTCGCTTCAGTGTATAAGCCGACTTGCAAATTTATGCAAAAAGGCGCGACTTATATAGCAAAAAATATGGTCATGGTTATAATGTTAGAAAAATGCTTTAAAATAACGATTATCTTTGGGCAAAGGTTTGGTCCAGCCACTTTGCATTTTAACTGAAACTTGATTAATGATGGAAGTCGGCCTTTCTGAATTGTTTTTACCAGCAGCCAAATACACGCTGCAGATTAAACAGCTCTGTCAGGATGAAGCAGCTCCTGAAGCCTTCTGGACGACTGTTTCTCTTTCGGACTGTTTTAATCATTTCTGTCTGAGGATGCCAAATGTTGCCGACACGTGGGAAGGCGCATACGTCTTTATTTTCCCCTCTATGGGTTAGAAAAGCCACAACGCACGATTTAGTCTGCCCCGACAAACAGTTTACAGTAAAGAAAAGTGAGGACGTGTACAACATTTTTCTTTCCGAGTCCAAATCTGAGAATTAGCGTTTAATTATTGGTTTTCAGTATAAACATGAGGTAGGCTTTAGTTCTGGTTCTGTGCTGGACTGCTCACAGGCTTTCAACTTGAATCAGTTTTTAATGAGAAATATGAGTAAAGAATGTTTAGAAACTGACTTTGAATGTTTCTGTTAAACCGTGCCTCAAAATGAGTTGTTGTTTGTGATTTTTAATAATGAAGAAAACTAAAATGTTCAGTTCTGTGCTAAAGTTTTCAAACAAGCCCTAGTTTCTTTAATTTTTCTTCCAAGCAGACAGACTTTCTTATGATCTTTTTAAATGGTCTCGATCAAGAGTTTCTGAAGGTCTTTCAAAAAGTATATTTATTTATTTTTGCACTTCAGCTTCATTTCTAGCCGTTGCATCTGAACACATACTGTGCAGCGTGCCTAAAATAGAGGAAAGTGAACAAATAAAAAACAAAATAATTTGTTTCAAGCCTAAAAAACACTGTCTGCAGCAGATGAAATATCTTAAGAGATGAACAAAACGCAGCGTCGACCTGAGAAATGTGTCATTCTTTAGCTAAACTTCGGTTTGTCAAGTTTTCAGCTCTTTAGGAATCACCTTGTTGAAGCTAAAATAATAATTTGTCTCTCAAACTGTGTTATCTTTGTTTTTAAAATAAATGTAACTAAATAAAAGTGGGGACAAACAGTGTTTTTGTAACAGGCTGGTGGTAACAAAGAGCCCGTTTGAACGTAGCGCTGGTGAAGAGTCTCAGTCGTCCAGGACACGTTCAATTTAAAAATATTCAAGACAAAAACAACTGGACTTTATTTGGAACAGAAGATGCTTTGCTTCTCATCCGAGGAGCTTTCTCAATTCAAAGAACAGAGAGTGTGGGGTTCGAGTCATAAAGCTGAGGTTAAATACATACATATGCAGATTACCCTGTCACTCCTCACAATCAACTTCAAGGTTCTTTATTGTCATTTGCATCACATGTGGTACATTAAGTAGAATGAAATTTTGTACTCGAGGTCCCAGTTACACCCCAAAAATAGTAAAAATACAGTATAAAGTATTACAAGAAACGGTATATAAGGATCTAAGATCTACGCTAAGCGAATGCTAAATGATACGCTAAACAATCTAAGATATTCACTAAGATATACGCTAAAAGATCTAGATATACGCTAATAATGTAAAATAATACGGTATATTAAACAGCAACCCCAACAGGAGTTTGTTAGGGTCTTTGTTAGTTTGACTCACAGATGGGCCACTCTGGTCACATGGATGAAATTCCTGATAGGAGTGAAAATGACTGGATATCAGGCCTAAAGTTCAAATCTGAGACATCCTCCTCTGTTTAAAGACAGTTTCTCTCGTTTTACATCGATAACTTCCTTCACCCCCCACTCAAACCATCTCTCTTCTCGGTCCAAAATGTGAGCATATGCATACGAGTGCATGTGAACCGCTGAGTCCAGGACAAGACTCGGATACCCAGTCATTTTCACACCTATCCGGAATTTTATCCATCTGACCAGAGTGGCCCATCTGTGAGTCAGACTAACAAAGACCCTAACGAGCCCCTATTGTGAGGAGTGACATGGCAATCTGCATACGTACCCCAACTTTATAGCTCGAACCCCACAGTCCCTGTTCTTTGAATTGAGAAAGCTCCTCGGATGAAAAGCAAAACATCTTGAACTTTTTTTGAATTCTACAGGAATAAAAGTTGGTGACAAAAACTGTGAAAGACCTTCAGAAACCGTGAAGGAACTGTACGAGAAAATCTGGCTGCTCAGAAGCAAAGTTTAGACTTTTTACAAACCAAGACAAATAAAATGTAAACCGTCAACACGTTCGAACCTTTGACTGCCAACGTGCTCATCATCGTGTTAGTGTTACCGTCTCAGAGCACAGTAAGACTTCCAGACCCTGCACCACCGCAGGAATTAGATATTAGATAGTCCTGCTGATACTTTGAAAAGTTTTGTGTGTTTTCTCCATCTCTCACACATCTACCTTCTGAACCTCCAACCCCATCAAACCCAACAGCGGTCCAAGATTGCCGTCTACGAGAAGATGTGGGGCTACATGAAGTCCGCCGAACCTACAGTCTTCACCAAGACCACGGCGGAAGGGGTGGCGCGGGTCCGCAAGTCCAAAGGGAAATACGCCTTCCTGTTGGAGTCCACTATGAACGAGTACACAGAGCAGCGCAAACCCTGCGACACAATGAAAGTCGGAGGCAACTTGGACTCCAAAGGCTACGGCGTAGCCACACCCAAGGGTTCACAGTTAAGGTGGGTGGAATAGTGTAACAATATGTTCTACGTGTTGTTATGGTATTCCACCTTCCCTGGTGTGCCGCCTTTCTATCTGTCTCCACTTGCTGCTCGACGTGGGAGGGCGTTCTATGTTCGTTTTAGGACAGCTTTTGGACGTTTGTGTTTGTTGCATGCACGTGGAGCTGCGTGGTGACGGTGCAGGGGTGGTTCTTGTGTCATTTTCCTTCCCTTACAGCTCTTCACACGAGGTAACTCCCTGTGCTTGTGCTTGCTGTTTGGGCAGACGCGTTTGAACGGGCATGCTGGAAGCTTTAAACTCCATCCATCTGAAAGCGTAGATGTCCTGCATTTTATGTACAGAACGTAATGAGCTGGTGCCAGTTCAGCTTTATGTCACGGTTGACTGTTTTGTGATGTTTTTCTTAACTTCTAGTTGAGTTCTGGGAGCCGTTTGAATGCCCAGCCCTCGGTGACCACGGCCGTCTACACACCGGGCGCAGGGTACGGTGAAATTACTGTGGGGAGCTGCACGTTAAATCTGCGCCCTCATCGATCAAACCCTGTCAGCACGGCCTCGCGGATCAGAATGGATGAATGCACTAAAGGCAACGTTAGACGTTCGCGAGCTTTGAAATGACTTGCACATAAATTTATTCCTACTTAGGCATGAGGACATCATTTCACAATAAGGACAGAGCTTTTCAGTGATGGCTCAAAGCAACTCTGCGTAATAAACAAATTTAGAGCAACATCATCGATCAGAAGAGTTTAGACTGCGCCAAGAAGCCGTTTCTGCTCGTCTTTACAACCAGTTAGTTCCAGCTCCTCCTCTCAGACTACAGTTTAACTACTGGTAGTTTTCTGTAAATTCCTCTCCCAGCGAAGGCTGGTTTGACTTTCTCCCAGGCTGGTGCCGGTTTTCAGGCGCTGCTTTGACCAGAAGGAGTCCCTGACAGATCACGGTAGTCCTCTCCTCCACCGTGTTGTTGTTTTGTTTTTATTTATTGGGAGGGTTGTTGTTTTCTGTCAGCCACTTGTCTGGATATCAGCGAGGAAACCCAGCAGCAGCGTGCAGCGCCCGTTGGTCCAGGCTGTGCACTCGCACGGCTCCACCTTCAACTTCTCCATCTTTGAACTGAGTTATTAGCTGCGCTGCTCTGTGTCTTTTAATCCGCTCCCATTTGCTGAATGTTTTAAAGTTTTGTTAGTTTTGTTTTTTATATCGATGCAAGTCAATTAAAGAAAAGATCAAAACGCACACTGAGACAAATCTCTCCTCGTTAGACTCCTGCCAAACATTTCTACAGAACCCCTCGAGGGAAGAACATTTAATTATAATTATCTTTCTTTTGTTGAAATAAAGGCTTTTAAAGGATATTCCTGCCCGTCCATCAGGATGTTTGAGGGAAGTTTAATGTTCATAAATCCTCTGATATGCTTCATGAACAGGAACACTTTGTTTTTAAGACGCTTTGGGTCTGATGCCAGTTTAAAACAAAACTTTAAATTTCGTCATTTGCTTTCTGTTCTGAGCGGTCGCTTGTTTTTAAATGTTCGGTATAAATAAATTGGATTTGATTCTGTACGTCGAAGCTGCCAACAACTTCAGATGTGATGTTTTATCGCCAAAGAAAGTCCAGAATCTCTTTTCAGGCCTTAGAAAGTAAATAAGTCAAACTCTAAAGTTAATTCATGAATTTAAACTGAACAAAATAAATCTTCAGCTCGATGAAACAGGTTTATATTTTATTTATTGTACTTTTGTCCACATATGTATGATGTTGTAAAGGGGGCCACCATCACCCCCACAGACTAAAATCATTGAAGGAAGCAGATAAAGATAATTAAACTCACAAAAATGAAGAAATTAATAAATTTTTAATGTATAGGTTTAGTTATTAAAGCACCTTTAACACTTTTTTTATGATTTTGTACCAAAACTTGTTTATGTTAGGCTTTTTAAACGCTCATCTGTTTTTATGAAGCCTACTTTAAGTTTAGGAAACAAATCTGTTGTGGTTTATGCAAAGGAAGCAAACTTTTCAGATTAAGAAACAACGGTTTGTCTGGATTAAGACAACAAAACCTTCATCGTTACTTTTAAGAAACGGTTCATTGCGTTTAGGAAACGAGACGACTTAATTAGGTTTAGAAATAAAATAGTTTAGGTTTAGGAAACAAACTTGCTTACGTTTTAAAAGAACATGTTTCGGATTAGGCGTTAAAACCATTGTGTTAAAATAAATTAACATTAAAACGGACTCCAACAATGTTCAGTCAGGTCATTTATACGTTTTTTTTTTTCTTGCTGAGACGTTTCGTCCTTCATCCAAAGGACTTCTTCAATCGGAGGAGCCCCAAAACAAACTAATTTCCACCAACAACATACTCCAAAGTGGTTCAAAACACCAAAGTTCATGCTCAATATATTTTTTATACCTGGATTAATGAGCATGAACTTTGGTGTTTAGAACCACTTTGGCATGACTGTCTCAGAGGAGTTGACGGGGGAGAGGGTGGGCCCCGGAGGCCATCTTAGCACCAGCAAACTGTTTTTTTTTTCCACTTTGGAGTATGCTGTTGGTGGAAACCAGTTTGTTTGGAGGCTCCTCAAATTGAAGAAGTCCTTTGGATGAAAGATGAAACGTCTCAGCAGAAAAATAAACCTTCCAGATTGTACCTGACTGAACATTGTTGGATTTGTACCTGGATTATTGAGCATGGACTTTGGTGTATTAAAATTTACTCTTTGATGCTTATGAACATATTTAAATATTTTTGTTCTGCAACAGCCTTCAGCTGTTAACACTTTATTAATTACTGTAATGAAAAATCACAGTGAGGTGAAAGGCATCCTTTAGAGTTAAAATACTCATTTAAAGATGACATCAGTGTGGTACTCTGTGTGGTTTTAAGTGTTAAACAGTAAGAATGTGTTTTAAAATCGGACTTCCTGAAATTTCAAGTTTCGTGTCATTCAGCCACGTTTCCCCTCAAACGAGAGAGATTTGTGTTCACTGTGTATTTGGGTCTTTTGAATGGGATTAACACACTTTTCCACCCTTGTCCCTTTACTGCTACTCCTCCCTCCCCCTGTCCCCTTTTTTCTTCCTCCCCTCCCAAATTGGACAGCATACTCACCCCCCTCTCACCAAATATGTTTTATCGTTTTCAAGAAGTGCAGTTAACCTGGCAGTGTTAAAACTCAATGAGCAAGGCCTGTTGGACAAATTGAAAAACAAGTGGTGGTACGACAAAGGAGAATGTGGCAGCGGAGGCGGTGGCGAGAAGGTTAGCCGCAATGTCGCTATGCCCATGTGACCTTGATGTGGGTAGAAGAGAAATGTTTGTCGGTAACAGGAGCATCTGCCGGGTCGATCCTCAAAGGAACGCAGATCATTTGGGCACTTTTAACCTACCGAGTACTGTTGAAGCAAAAATATTTGCTGTTCTGCTCGTAATGTGGCTGGTGAACGGTCCTAAGCGTGACTGTGACTGTAGATGATAGTAACCCTGATTTGGGTGCAGCTATGAGCCAATAGTTCTGGTTCGGCGGTACAAAAATCCTTGGTTGTTGAGAGAAAGGTCCCGGCAGTATGTGCCCGTTCCCAAATAAAGCGATGCAGCCGGGGTCCCACATATATGTCTGTTCGCTCTGCCCGTCCCAATAAACCCAAACCAGTAGTCTCGGTCAAACGGGCGAAGAGACATGTAACTCAAGTGGGGCCCCTTTCTGGCTTCGTCACTTTGTGCAGAGTACTGAGTGCTCTTGTTGGGCTTCTTCTGACTGAATAACATAAAATAACATGTCCTATGATGTTATTTATGTTATTTCCCCCCACCCCACCCTTCCCTGTCCCCCATGATTTGAAGAACGCCCGTAAACCTTGCCGTATTGAAACTGAGTGAAGCAGGAGTCTTAGACAAACTGAAAAACAAATGGTGGTACGATAAAGGGGAGTGTGGACCCAAGGACTCTGGAAGTAAGGTCAGTCTCCACCAGCCTGGGAGCCTCCCCTCCTCTCTTTGTCTCTGTGCACACTTGTGTCGCGCTGGCAGCGCTGTTGTGTTATTACAGCAGAAAGAGCCGGTGACATACATGCAGGTAGAGGCTTGACCTGAGGGATACAGCATGACAGAAACGAGGCATGAACACGACTTGTATCTCGACAGCAGCTAGTCTTTGTGTTGCAACGCCAGATAGAAGCTCACACGTTAGCCGTCACCACAGACCGGTCCCAAGGCATGTTCAGTGTTCCCACAGGGTGTTTGCCTTAGCTGTAGCAGCACACTCAGGACTGACGGACACGGTCGATGCACTGCAGCATGAAGAAAGTTACCACACTTTAAACAACGCAGCATGAACCTCCTACGTTAGCGGTCTCTATTTAGTCAGATCCGGGCAGCGCAGGGAACACACGCCATCATCTGCAAATGGGAATACGCATGAGAGGCGATTGTTTTGTGGCAAGAAGTCATGAGCCGAATGTGCCAGATTTATTAGAGAGGGATTAACCGCAGGTAGGAGCTCAAATACGAGGCGTCGGTTTGAATTAAAGGAGGAGTCAGAAGGTGAAGTTGAAAAACAAGAAGTTTGATTAAACATGGGGAAATAAACAAATGACCAAAACAGATTTTCTCACTTACCTCAAGTTAGCAGATATAAACAATATCCTATTGTTTGATCCTATTGTATAGGGTAGGATCCTATACAATAGGATCAAACAATAGGATAAAGCGTAAAGTGACATGATTATACAGTGAGGAAAATAAGTATTTGAACACACTGTGACTTTACAAGTTCTCTCACTTAGAAATCATGGAGGCGTCTGAAATTTTCATCTTAGGTGCATGTGCACTGTGAGAGACATAATCTAAAAAAAACAATCCAGAAATCACAATGTATGATTTTTTAATAATTTATTTGTGTGTTACTGCTGCAAATAAGTATTTGAACACCTGTGAAAATCAATGTTAATATTTGGTACAGTATCTTTGTTTGCAGTTACAGAGGTCAAAGGTTTCCTGTAGTTTTCCACCAGGTTTACTGCAGCAGAGATTATGGACCCTTCCTCCACAGATCTTCTCTAGATCAGCAGGTTTCTATGCCGTCGCTGAGAAACACGGAGTTTGAGCTCCCTCCAAAGATTTTCTACAGGGTTTAGGTCTGGAGACTGGCTAGTCCACTCCAGAACCTTGATCTGCTTCTTACGGAGCCACTCCTTGGTTCTCCTGGCTGTGTGCTTCGGGTCATTGTCATGTTGGAAGACCCAGCCACGACCCATCTTCAATGTTCTAACTGAGGTGAGGAATCAGCCCAGAACTACACGGGAGGAGCTGGTCCATGAGCTGGCACCACTGTTTCCATGGTTACTGTGGGTAACACACTAAGACGTCATAGTTTAACATCATGCATGGCACGGAGGGTTCCCCTGCTTAAATCAGCACACGTCCAGGCCCGTCTTCAGTTTGACCATGACCATTTGGATGATCCAGAGGAGTCATGGGAGAAAGTTCTGTGGTCAGATGAGACCAAAATAAAACTTTCTGGTCTTAATTCCACTTGTTGTGTTGGGAGGATGAAGAATGATGAGTACCATCCCAAAAACACCATCCCTACTGTGAAGCATGGGGGTGGAAGCATCATGCTTTGGGGGTGTTTTTCTGCACATGGGACAGGACGACTGCACTGTATTAAGGAGAGGATGACCGGGGCCATGTAGTGAGAGATGTTGGGGAACAACCTCCTTCCCTTTCTTAGGATCATTGATCCGTCACGAGGTGAGATCTTGCATGGAGCCCCAGTCCCAGGGAGATTGACAGTCATGTTCAGCTTCTTCCATTTTCTAATAATTGATCCAACAGTTGATCTTTTTTCACCAAGCTGCTTGGCAATTGCTCCGTAGCCCTTTCCAGCCTTGTGGAGGTCTACAATTTTGTCTCTGGTGTCTTTGGACAGCTCTTTGGTCTTAGCCATTTTAGTAGTTGGAGTCTTACTGATAGCACGGTGGCGCAACTGGCAGAGCTGCTGCCTCTCAGCGAGCAGGTCCCTGGTTCAAACCCCGGTCCAGGGGCCTTTCTGGGTGGAGTTTGCATGTTCTCTCCGTGCATGCGTGGGTTTTCTCCGGGTACTCCGGTTTCCTCCCACAGACCAAAAACATGCATGTTAGGCTGATTGGTAACTCTAAATTGTCCCTAGGTGTGAGTGAGAGAGTGAATGTTTGTTTGTCTCGTTTGTCTCTATGTGGCCCTGTGATGGACTTGCGACCCGTCCAGGGTGTACCCCGCCCCTCGCACAGTGATTGCTGGACATGGGCACCAGTGACCCCCGTGACCCAAAATGGAATAAGCGGGTAAAGAAAATGGATGGATGGATGGATGGAGTCTTACTGATTGTGTGGGGTGGACAGGTGTCTTTATGCAGCTAACAACCTCAAACAGGTGCTTCTAATTTAGAATAATAAGTGGAGGTGGACATTATAGAGGCGGACTAACAGGTCTTTGAGGGCCAGAACTGTTGCTGATTAGCAGGTGTTTAAATACTGATTTGCAGCAGTAACACACAAATAAATTATCAAAAAAAATCATACATTGTGATTTCCGGATTTTCAATTTTTTTCAGATTATGTCTCTCACAGTGCACATGCACCTAAGGTGAAAATTTCAGACCCCCCTCGCGGCGTGTTCAAATACTTATTTTCCTCAGTATGTATGAATAACGGGAAGGTAGTCATCAAAGTTTAGTCCGATGGTTTGGCCCATTTGTCATCAGCATGATCGGTTACATCATGGGGCGGCTGTGGCTGAGTGTTTAGAGCAGTCGTCCTCCAATGCAAGAGTTGGGGGTTTGATTCCACAAGCAGTCACATACCTAAGTGTCTCTGGGCAAAGAACCCCTCGTTGCCTCCGATATGTGTCCCATCAGTGTATGAATGTGATAAAGCTCTGACTAATCTTTGTATAGATCTAGTAGAGTGCTGTATGAATGAGTAAACGAGGTGTTGTAAAGCACTTTGAGTGTCTTGATACGACAGAAAGGCACAATACAAGTACAGTCCATTTACCATTCACAGCTGCAGCGTTTAACCACACTAAACATTGACCGTGTTAAATATGTTGGGCTTATTTGAACTCTTAAAAAAGATTATTGTTCTTCTCAAACCACTCCTCCAATCAGGATGACTCCACATTTTAAACCACGTTTTTTAATACCCCTGTTGAAAGGCGTATTCTGGTGTAGTCTCCGTCCGTAAACTTCCTCTTGTCCCGCCCTCAACTTCTGATCCGCAAAATATAATTTAATAAAACTTCATACACATAATCATCATCACCAGACTGAGTGTCTTATACACTGTTCATCACCCCAGTTTCAAGGTCAAAGTTAACACAAGGTAATTGCTTGTCCGGGCCATAACTTCTAAACCTCACAAGGTAATTTAAAGAAACTTGATGCACATTTGTCCCAACGCCACACAATCTTTTCATCACCCAAGCTTAAAGGTCAAGGTCACAAATCAAGATCAAAGGTCCTACAAGGTCTTTGCTTGTCTAGGCCTTTGCCATAGATTGCTGTATGTTTGTTGACAGGCGTATTATTTATTTATTCACCTTTATTTAACCAGGCAAGTCCCGTTGAGGACACGGATCTCTTTTGCAAGCGAGGCCTGGGCCTGAAAACAGCCCAACATGCATGTTTGTGTGAGGCAATAGCGCTAACCACTGAGCCACCGTGCTCCTGTATAATATGACGTATGTGGTACTCTTGTTGAAGAAGTTTTAACTAAAATTATTCACAGGTGATTATTAAACCTGTGTATTTCTAGAGTCAGAGCTGTTGCTAATAAAATACTTTAATGTCCCGATTAAGATTTTTGTTGTCACCAATACTAGGTCTCAATCTGACAGATTATTTTAACTTTCTTTTTGCAACGCAGACCAAATACTTAGATTACTGTCGGTACATTAAAGTTATTAAAATCAGAGCTTGACACCTCAATAGCTCTACATTGTGGTAAAAAAAAAAGGGTTCTTGTTGCGTCTGTGGTTGTTTTTTAAATTATGTTATTATTATTAAAGTACATTTTCATCCTTGAAAAATATATCAGGTGATGGCAAACATTTTTATACAATGTTATGTATCGTCAAGAGGATGTACTGTAACTCCAACAGCGCTAAAGGGTGTTAAAAATCTAAATTCTTGTCTGGTGGAGGTTAAAGTTGCTCCCTCCACTCACCAGGATCCATCACTGGCGCTGCCTCAGACAAGAAAATCTTCTACAATGCAACTCCCACCTACTTGAACATGTTGCACCAAAAACATTAAGGTTTACTCGGATCCTATGTTCAACTGCAGCCCATAAAAACACTCATTTTGAAAACTAGAACTATTTTGCTATTCAAATCCCTCGGCAACACGGGACATCGGTGTACCGCTTGTTTCACTTGTTCGAGTCTTACAATTTATAGAGAAATTTACCGGCAACAAATTTTCCTCAGTATGACGAACTAAACGAAGTGCTCTAAACAGAATGAATTCAAACTGTACTGAAGGCAAATCTATAACCAGGAGATCAAAAGTTACTTTAAAATTTGGTGGCAACTAGGGCTGAACCATTTTAGAAAATATTCGAATTGCGATTTTATTTTTTATCTCAATATTGCGATTTAATATGATTATTTTTCAATGATCACAAGCAACAAATCATCTGTTTCTGTTGCAACAACCTCCACAGTTTTCAGCTCCGCTACAAATGTTTCTACATTTTTTTGTGTAGCTCCACAGAAACTTGGCTAAAATGTGCACGAGGGCGTTCTGTACAACTTATCCATTGTGTTTACCAAAGCTGTAAACCCAGGCTTGGTCACTGTATTAATGTGCATCATGTCTTTCACTATGAATTTTGTTATTGCTCGAGTTATTTCCACGTGCCGTTTTGAATTATGTTCATTCAGATTAAAACCTTTGAACAGTTCGGTCAGTGATCCCGTCGGCTCGTACGTTGCTGACTCGAAGTTGAAGCACCGGTCGTTGGTATTCTAGTCATGCAACTATCGTAAATGGCTTTGTGGTGTTTTTTAAGTGTTGATAAAGATTCATGGTGTTACCTCGAGAGGCAGCAAGGCAGGTTCTGCACAGCACGTGTCGTTGCTCAGTGTCTTCTTTTTTAAAGCCAAAATAATTCCAAACAACGGACGTGCTGCTGCTCTTTGGTACCAAACTTTCAGATGTATCAGCTTCTGTCGAGTCCGACGTCATTGTGCAACCAGTTAAAGTGCAGTGGTGACTTCTCCCGCTCTCTGCTCTGCTTTGCTCCGCTGACTCGCAAGTCACGTGACCAGATCACGTGACCAGTCAAATTGCAGCCTTTGCGATTAGAAAATCTTGTTTTATCATATCGCAATATTATTGCAAATACAATTAATTGTTCAGCCCTAGTGCCAATGGTGAAATCGTAGATTATGGTGCCTAATATCAGTCAATATCTGTGACACTAGGGGTAAGTGAGAAAACGTTTTTTTGTAATTAGTTGACCCCCCTGCCGCCCTTGAGTTAAAATGACCCACGAGGCTTCAGTCTCATGAGGCCTCATGGGTCATTTTGACCCAAGGCCAACAGGAGGGTCAAACAGCTTTTTTATAGTTTGACGGGATTTAGTTGATATTGTTAGTAAACTGTGAATTGATTGACAGCATGGCTCCAGACTGCAGTGCTGAAGTGAGCTGACAGGTTGGGGGGCGGGGGTGGTGTAGTTAGAAGTAGATCAGTTCAGTGCCTTTGTGTATGCATGACGTATATCTGAAGAGATGTTATCCATTTTTACCCTGTCTGATGTATATTTATTGATGGCGTGTTGCCCCTTTCTGACTTTTTGTTCCTCTCGCCCCGCCGGCTATAGGACAAGTCGTCCCAAGCCCTCAGCCTGAGCAACGTGGCGGGGGTCTTCTACATCCTGGTCGGGGGCCTGGGTCTGGCAATGCTGGTGGCCCTCATCGAGTTCTGCTACAAGTCGCGCAACGAGGCCAAGAGAATGAAGGTGGAAGCCCAGTCCTCATCCCCGTCCCAGTCCCAACACCCCCATTCTCACCACTGCTGCTACTTCTGTCGCTCAGGCAGTCCCCGTCATAACCCAGAGCCTAGCCAAAGCCAGACCCCCAGGCCCAGCGGCGGTGGCCACAACTTAGCCGAGTTTAGTGAGGTTTTCAATGGGTATGGCAGCGACGGGGAGGCTGATAAGATGTAGATGGGGGATTTCCTAGACGGTCCACCCAAACCTTTGCTCTCCCTTCACTAGCTCCCTGCACAGAGACTGTAAGTGAACCCGCTCACATCATGTCCGTGTAGCTTCACCGTGTTCAGTGACTGTGGTGACCAGTGGCAAAACGCTTCCCACTTCTGTGTCCTATTCGCTCACTTTATGCTCGTGTGACGTCCCAGTCTGCGTTTGGTATTTTCCTCAGCGTGACAGGAAGTGGTGACATCAAACTGCTTCACAGCTTCGTGTGGCTGCATAGGCTGGCCCTCATTCATCATACAGAGACCTGATTTCCTGCCAAAAACCAAACCTGCATCGCTCCGAGCTCAGGCCCCGTCCACACAGAAACAAAATTGCATTTCAAAGCATCCAAAGCCGTTTTTAAAAATGGTTTTCGGGGTGAAAATGTCTAGAATGGCCACCCTTGTGTTTTTGTGTAGACAGCAAAAATGCAATTTTTTGAAAACAGTGATGTAAAAGTCATACTTCCTGCTTCAATCATGACCCCAGGCCTCGATAAATGTTACATTACAGTATTGACAGAATGCATGCTTCCCATTGCGTTGAACGTCGGCTCAACTACAACCTTCATAATCGGAATTGCTTCAATGAACGGATAAGACTGAGTAGAGCGAAGAACAACAACAAAAAACTATTACACCAAATGATCCAAGGCCAAAAAGGCTTTTATCGGTTTACTGAACATTTTCTGTCAACAATATTAAAAAGAAATCAAAGTTTGTTTTGGCCAGGACAATTTATATTTCATAAGAAATCCAACAGCAGCACTCCTGGGAAGAGTACAAACCAAACAGCAGCAGAAAAGCTGCTGAAAGTGGAAATTATATTTCCGCTTTTCTGCATTGACCACGCCCACTTCAGATTCCTGATCAATCACACAATTATTAGATGCCACACCGGAAAAAAATTAACTTAAATGACGTTGAACTGCAAGAACTCCCATACCAGGGTCGCAGGGGACAAAATGACATCATTATTTTCTCACAGCCCTGAGACAGAAAACACTTAGCAGGTTGACGCTCCACGCCTTGTTTCCTGTTTTTTTGTAGCCGAGTTCAGAAACTCTGCCACAGGTCAGGCATCGTTAGTTCAGCATTTTGGGTCATTTCCTGTTTTCCCACGTGAATTGACAGCATTTCTTGAAATGTTGCCATGTTTACAAAGATACTTTTAAAAATGACAAATAAACACTGTTTTGGAAAAACAGCGTTTCCGTGTGGACATGGCCCTAGTCGCAGTAAAATATTTTTTTATTGAAAATCTCCGTAAAAGCAAAGAGTTCCCAACAAAAATTTATAAACGATAAATTCAAGAGACGCATACTTTTAAATAAGTGTTAGTTTTAACACATTTTAAAGAAAAAACATGATAAATGAGGACCAACGATTTACCTGTCTACACACCTGTGAGTACACGTCATTAAACCACTGAGCATCCGTTCACCTCACGTCTCCTCTGACCCCTAAAACACCGCGGTTTCACTTTGAAGCCGTCTTTGTTCTTGTGAGACCCTCAAGACACTCGAGCGCAAACATCTCAATATTGAAGGCTGTAGCTTGGAGACTTCAACGTCTTTAATCTGTTGATTGAACTAAAAGCCACAGGAGAAAATTAATTTTTAAAACTGGTCTGGGTTACAAAAACAAAAAGCTCTGTCTGATTAATTCAGGCACATCGTAGCACAAACCGATCCCTAACCCTCGCACTGAGACCTTATAGACCAGCGTTTCCTACAGGTCTTTGAGTTTTGGGGTTTTCAGATATCTGTCCTCAGTCGGTGTTTATCTGTGTTCACCATCAGCTTCCCTGTTCTCCCTGCAGCCGTCACTCTGTGCAACTCGCTGATGTTAGTCTGGGGCTGAATCGCTATCAAAGTGTTTCTGGACTGGATAAATGTTGATTTGACTTTAGATCTAGCTTTTGGTTTTGCAGATTGGAGTTCCTTCAAAGGTTTTGGGAGGCACAAGCTTTGTGGCAAAAAAATTTTAAAAAAAATTATTGTTAGAGAAGCTTCAGTTTGTCTCGTTTACGTTTGAGCCAAATTAAACTCAAAAATAAGAATCTGAATAAATTTTTGTTTTATAAAATAAATTGGAAAATTTTAGTTGTCAAGTATGACGGAGCTTTAGGATCACGCTAAGAAAAAAAAAGCCATAAAATTACGAGAATAAAATCATACGAGACTTTTTGCAGCTCTTGTTTTTGTTTTCTTTCCCACAAGTCGGATCTACAATGTGACCTGTCAATCAATCCAGTAGGCGTGTCAGCAAATGACCAATCCGAAGCTAAAAGAGTTGTAACATCTGAACTCCGACAGGATAAAGCAGAGTTTACCTCATTTTAACTGGTAAAATGAAGAATGTTGAGCATCTTGTTGAGTTATACTTTGGTATTGGTTTTAAAATAAGCAGATAGTTAATCTGTGAGCACATCCACATCAGATTATCAGTATCAGGCTTTGAACCTGCTTACAGCGAGTTGGTAGCTCTGATGGGCTGCAGCACAGCTCTGCAGGTAAGGAACATTTAGCTTCGGATTGGTCATTTGCTGACACGCCTACTGGATTGATTGACAGGTTGTGTCGTGGATCTGACTCGTGGAAAAATAAACGAGCTGCCAAAAAAAAAAAAAAAGTCTTGTACACATTAATTCTCGTAAATATTCTACTTTATTTTCGTAATTTTATGGCTTTTATTTTTTTTCTTAGCATGGCTCTAAAGCTCCGTCGTAGTTTTTAAATATTAAGGGGTAAAAAAGTGACCTCGAGATTCATCTCTATTTGCGGATGATGTGGTCCTGTTGGCGTCATCGTGCCGTGTTCTTCGACCGTCACTGGAGCGGATCGCAGCCGAGAGTGAAGCGGCTGGGACCAGGATCAGCACCTTTAAATCCGAGGCCGTGGTCCTCGGTCAGAGAAGGGGGGACTGCCCTGTCCAGGTTGGGGGTGAGGTTCTGCCTCGAGTGGAGGAGTTCAAGTATCTCGGGGTTTTGTTCACGAATGAGATCAACAGATGGATCGGTGCAGCTTCCACAGTATTGCTTACTGTTCCGGGTCGTTGTGGTGAAGAGGGAGCTGAGCTGTAAGGTGAAGCTCTCTGTTCACCAGTCGGTCTACAGTCCTCTGACCTATGGTCACAAACTTTGAGCAGTAGATACATTGGGTCAAAATGAGTTTCCTCTGCAGGGTAGAGAAGTTCAGTTCTCCAGGAGGAACTCAGAGTAGAACCGCTGCTCCTCCACATCCAGAGGAGCCAGTTGAGGTGGTCCAGGCATCTGACCCTGGACGCCTCCCTAGGGAGGTGTTCCAGGCGTGTGCAGCTGGGAGGACACCCAGGACACGCTGGACAGACGGTCTCTCAGCAGGACTGGAGGTCCTCCCAGAAGAAGTGGCTGTGTAGATGTCTGGGCCTCCCCGATCAGGCTGCTGCCCCCGTGACCCGAACCCAGAAGAAGTGAGAGAGAACGGAAGGATGGAAGTCTTTCAGGCTAACGTTGGAAAAGAAAAATAATCTGAGTAACCAGTCTCTAGTTTATTACTTTTAAACTTCACAAGTTGGTCTCCATAAAATAAACATTTACAGTCCGTATATTAAAAACCTTTTTTTCAAATTACAATGTAGTTGTAGTTTGAAGCAGAGAGCTCTGATTTAGTTGCAGCACAGCCTTCGTGTTCGTTTTCAGGATTTCCCCCCTTCAGACCTTTAAAGTGATAGTTCAGATTTTTAAGTGGGGTTCTGTGGAAAAGTTGTGAACATTTAATATCCTGTTGGTCGTAGCAGCTCTGAACGACCTCAGCTTGGAGAAGGTTTCGTTCTAGTGGAAACAACGAGCAGGAACATCCTAATGTTTCGACCAGAATAACGACGTAATGTGAAAAAAAATGATGCAGATGTGAATAAATGTGCAGGAACTACGATCAGTTTTTCTTCTTGTCGCTGTAAAACGACAACACCCGCCTTTAGTCTCACCTCAGCTCAGATTAGTTCAACAATCTGGTCAAAACTAAACTTATTTTTCAAACCGAGCGTTTTCTACAACAGGTAAGATATTCTTTAACTTTTCTACAAAACCCTGCATCAAAATATCAGCTCCGACCGTTTTCAGATTTATGCTTCACTTAAAGTGACGTAATGATTTTAATAAATCAAGTTGAGACAAATCAGACTAGTTGAAGCTAAAACATAAAAACGAAGAGAAAAAAAAGATGGTTCTTTTGTTGGAGGAGCAGTTTCTGTAATAAATAATTAGGATTTTTACGCGGACCTCCACAAAGCAGCAGTTTGAAGGAACTCCGATCTGCAACGTTTTCTCATCTCGGTCCGCTTCGAACCCAAACGTGTCTCTGTTTCTCCTCAGCTGACGTTCACAGAAGCCATGAGGAACAAGGCCCGTCTGTCCATCACGGGCAGCGTGGGGGAGAACGGCCGAGTGCTGACGCCCGACTGTCCCAAGGCCGTCCACGCCGGGCCCCCCATCCGCCAGAGCTCCGGCCTGGCCCTGGTCTCCTCTGAGCTTCCTTGAAAACCAAAAACCTCTCAAGTGCCTTAAAGCGACGACGACGAAAGACGATCCACAAGAAGCGAGAAGAACCGGGCCTCAGCAGACGGGGTCTCCTCCGGTACCGTTAGAGGGGCTTCCCTCTGAAACCCGAGGAACAACGGCCATGTTTTTATTTTACCGAAGAGTTCTCTCCTGAAAGAGAAATATCACGAGATGTGACGAAGAGGAGGAATCTGTAAACTTGAACCTGCACATCGACTGAGCTGTGATGAAAAGAATCAAAGACAAGAACTGAGGTTGTCGTCACCAGAGACCAGACTCTGGGAGCGACGCCGTGACCGAAAAATATTTGTATTCATAAAAACTTCTATTGAATATATGAGCAAACATAGAATACTGTGAAAAACTAGTAAATATGTATATTCTGACAAAAACCTCTAGCTGTACATAGACTGCTTGCTTTTTAAACACATGTAAATAAATATTGTAGTGAACATAAAGTTCTTTTCTAAAAAAAATATATATAAATCATCTTTTAATATTTGATTCATCGCAATAATAAAAAAGGACGATGCCACTTGAAGGAGCCGGCGTTGAACTCACCTGTATTATAAACTCAATGTGAAGGGTATCCACTGCCCACATCTGATACCTGTTGCATTACAAATTAAGATTATAATCTACGATGAATGTTGATTAGCTCCACCCCCAATCCTTAATCCACAACCCTCACTGTGCAGGCGGAGGTGGGTCACCAACCACACTTCTCTTTGGTTTTCCCGTTCTTTGTCTAGTTTTTGTTTTCTGGATTTAAACGCAGAGTCCACACGAGTCACTGAACCACCGTGGCGCCTCCGGCTGAAGCTGAAACGTCGACTCCAGACCTGGAAACCAGAGAAGCAGCGACGCCGAGCCGAGGGCGGCACCAGTCACTGGTTTTATTTTCACTGCTCATCTGGTCCAGACCCGGACTCGAGTCCTTTGTGGGGACAAACTGAAATGGTCCAGGGTTTGCGTTCTTGTCCTGCCGTCCGTCTCTAGACCTGAAGTGTAATGTTGCGTCTTTGTTTTAACTGTACGTCTTTATTTTGATCTTTTTTAAGTAAAAACTAATTTCACATTTTGATGTGCTGTGTCTTCATTGACGAGGGTGGAGGTCTCCACCTCAGGCGGAGGAGCTCAAGGATCTGGGCGTCTTGTTCACGAGAATTGGCAGGATGGAGATGATGACCTTGACCTCAGTAACGAGGGCGTTGCTTCGGTCCGTTGTGGTGAAGAGCCGAGTCGAAAGGCAAAGCTCTGGATTTACTGGTCCGTCTACGTTTCAGTCCTCACCTGTGGTCAGGAGGTTTGGATCGAGTGAAAAGAACGAGATCCTGGATACAAGCGGCTGAAATGAGCTTCCTTCCCTGGGGGGCCGGGCTCAGCCTGAGGTCAGGTGAGGAGCTCTGTCATCTGGGGGGAGCTCAGAGTAGATCCTCCGCTCCTTTACACTGAAAGGTGGTCTGAGCGTCTGATTAGGTTGCCTTCCTTTGGCGGTTCTCTGAGCACGTCTCACTGGGAAGAGACCCTGGATTATCCAGAACTCACTGGAGGGGGTCCACATCCTCTATGGCCTGGGAACCTTGGGATCCTGCAGGAGCTGGGGAGTGGGAGGTCTGGGTTTCTCTCCTGGAACTGCTGCTTGAAGATGGTTTCAAGGCAGTGTTTAACTTGTAAACCAAACGATGCCAGAACGCAGGGCCGGCCCAATCCCCCATGGGGCCCCAAGTGACATTTAGTTTGGGGCCCTCCATTTCTGCTGATAATGTGGATTAGTGCAGTCAGGTGGTCAGCTCAGTAACAAAGTGTCATCTGGCTTATCTTTGGTTCCAAAGACCTGCAGCAGTAATGTACAAAATAATTTGTAATGCAAGAACAACTGATAAAATAACTTGGATGCATAAAAATAAATTGTGCAAAAACAAAATTAAATTAAAAAAAATAAATACTAAGCAGCCACTTTGCTTATGCCTTGAGCCGGCCCTGCCAGAACACAAATAGCAGGGGTGGGGGTTCTCCCCCAGATAATTTTGAATAAAGTATATAGATGCGACAAGGAGTAAACCTGACCAACAGCTCTCCTTGTGTTGTTTGGACTTGTTGTCGTTTGTCTCGTTAGTCCACGTCGGAGCTAAACACTGAAGAGCTCAGACTGAACCCAGTGACTTCATCTTTAACACAAACCTGTTAATAAAATCATCAGAACCAGGATGAACTCTTGGACTCTGCCGCCCTCTACTGGCTGAATGTGGAGACACCCGAAGAAGAAAGACGCCTCACTCAGGTTCGACTTCTTTTCTTTCCCAATCTGAAGTTTAATGTTTCCATGCTGCGTTTCAGAAAGAATACAGATGATACGTGTGGCTCCGGTGAGAACATCCAGTAGTACAAATCAGATTCACGTTACACCGAACAGAAGAGATGGGGGGGGGGGGGGGGGGGG